CCTGTCTCAGCCTCCCGAGTGCTGATTACAGGCGTGCGCCACCATGCCCAACTCAAATGTTATTATTTTAGTTTTATTTTTTTTGTCTTTTTGAGATAGGATCTTGCTATGCAGTTCGGGCTGGCCTTGAGCTCACTTTGTAGCCCAGGCTGGTCTTGAACTTGCAATGATCCTCTTGCTTCAGCCTCCCAGGTGCCGGTCAAATGTTATTTTTAAAGACTACACTATAGTAAAGCTAATAGAAAACCATTAAAACTTACATGGAACAAATAAAAATATTTGAATAAAAATTAATTAGTTTTAGAGAGGAAATTTTTTTTGTTTTTTTTGAGACAGGCTCTTACTGTGTAATGCAGGCTGGCTTTCAACTCGTTTATGTAGCCCAGACTAGCCTTGAACTCATGCCTCAGCCTCCCAAGTGCTGGAATTACAGGTGTTTGCCACCACAACTGGCACAAGTACCTAATTTGAAAGCATAGTTTCAAGTTCAAATTTTGGAAAAAAACATTCAGCTCATTAGCAAGAAAAACTACCATTAATACTCTCTGTGATAGGCAGTATGATAGATCAGAAAGACTGGGCTGTGGAATCAACCTTAGGTGTGATTTGCTAGTTGTGATATGTGAAGTAAATTAGCCTACACTTATTTTCTTCATCTACAGAGCATGAAAAATAATATCTACTTTTTTGAGTTGTGCTGTGGATTAAGGCAGATTATGTATATAAGTACCTGGCTCATGCTAGTTATTTTGGAAAGCATAGCAAATGATTCAAAATATTTACAAGATATTCTAGTACAAATAAAAATTTAAGAAGCTTGTTAAAATTATTTCTTTACGTAGAATTTTCTCAAATTGGATATTGCTTAGACTATTGCCTAGGGTTTTGGATTTTTATTATTAAAAGAGATTTACATTTCTTTGATACTAAGTCATCTTTTAGGGACCCTCCCCCCAACTTTTTTTTTGTTTTTTTTTGTTTTTTTTTGGTTTTTTCTCCGGTACCGGGAACCGAACTCACGACCTTGCGCTTGCCAGGCAGGCGCTTTTGCCGCTGAGCTAAATCCCCAGCCCCCCCCCACCAACTTTTTTGAGGCAGGGTCTCACTATGTGTCCTAGGCCAGCCTCGAACTCATGGCACTCTGCCTGCTGCAGCCTCCCATGTACTGGAATTACAGGAATTTGCCACCATGCCTGGCAAGACCCCTTTTTATTAAAATTTCTATGGCTCCAAATTCTTAGGATCCTAGCTCTCTATGTTTTATTCTAATCACTTTTTCTCTGTTATTTTTACTTTTATCTTTTACTCCATTGTTAATATTTTGGTCTTCTGTTCTCGTTCTGCATATATTTTGGAGGAAAGGATAGATTTTATTTCATGTCATTTCTTTTTCCTAGTAGTGTTTAAAAGCCAGATTCCTAGTTTCACCAGCTGAGAAGTTACTTTGACATCTCAAATTCCCATTTGTATGAAGACAATAATGTTTCTACCATATAAAATAGTATTAAGTGAGTGAAAACTTGTAAAGCTGTTGGCATGGCACTTTACACCTATATAGTAAACTTTAATACTTTGGTAATACTTATATTACAAGTGGCTTTAAGTCTGTTGTAAACCCTTTTGTCTTCTAAGCTGTGGTCTTGTCTCTTACCTGCTTGTTAGACATTCTCTCTTATGTTTTCTTTTTTTTTTCATCTTTTTGAGACAGGGTCTCACTATGCAGTTCAGGCTGGTCTTGAGCTCACTGGTCCAAGCTGGTCTTGAACTCACAATGATCCTCCTGCCTCAGCCTCCCGAGTATCTCTTACATTTTCTTAAATACAAATGTCAAATCAGATTCCTCTTCCCATATGAAGACAACCTTTTATTGCTGTGCATTTGTATTTTAAATGTAAATATGAATAGCCAGTTTGTCTCAGATACTAAATGCTGTGAAACACCTTAGTAAACATCTAATGTTAAAAGTTGCAAATTGTTAATAGAATTCTGAACACAATATTTGGTCCTTCATGTCACACTAATTTTTTTTCTTTTTTTTTCCATGTTGGGGAATGAATCTAGGCCCTCACACATGCTAGACAAGTGCTGTAGTGTTCACTATGCATATGTATGTGTACATGTATATGTGTGTGTATACACATATACAGTGATGCCTCAGTTTATGAACTGCATTCTACGATTCTGGTGAACTGAGGTACCACTGTGTATATAGGTGTGGGATTGAACTAGGCCCTTATGTATGCTGGGCAAGACAGGCTTTGTGCATAGTAGGCAAGCACTCACTCCATTGCTGGGCTATATCTCCACTCTAGTCAAATTATTTTATTTGACATGGAAGACTAAAAACAGAAGGAATATTGACTCTTAATCCCTTGTTGGAATTCAGAAACATAGTAAATGAAGTTCATGTGTACAGGTCTCCTTATGCATAGGCCTTCACATAGAATCCCGAGGGGGTACCTGTTGGTTCACATTTTCCAGGAGAATGTTGTTATAAAATTGAGTAGCTGTTAATGCGTTGACACTTGGGGACAGAGTTAGTATTCAATAAATAGCAGCTAAGCAAATCAAACGAAGTGCAAAATAAAGCCAGGTGTGGTAGCACATGCCTGTAATCCCAGCACTTGGGAGGCTGAGGCAGGAGGATTGCTGCAAGTTTGAGGCCAGCCTGGGCTACATAGTGAGTTCAAGGCCAGCCTGAACTACATAGCGACACCCTGTCTAAAAGAGCCAAAAAACAAAACAAAACAAAACAAAATAAATGACATGATCTCTGCTGTCAAAAAGTTTATAAATTGAGTGAAGATAATGAACCTTGGAACTACTTACTAAGAATCTATTAATGTCATTACATGATGACATGTAGGATAAGGAGGAACAAATAATACATTTGTAGACATTCAGTAAGTGAAGGGAAAGATTTTTGCAGATAAATGGCTTGAGCCAGGCTTTGTATGTGTACTTCTAGATGCTTTCTGGGCTCAACATATAAAAAAAGTAGCCAGGTGTGGTGGTGTATGCCTGTAATCCCAACACTCAGGAGGCTGAGGCAGGAGGATTGCTGTGAGTTTGAAGCCAGCCTGGGCTACATAGTGAGTTCAGGGCCAGCCTAAACTACATAGTGAGAGCCTGTCTCAAAAAAAAAAAAAAAAAAAGACTACTTGTTTTAGAATTAAAAGAGAGTTAAGTACTAGCAATCTGTTGTGCAAGCTACAGCAAGATTACTCCATGTGCATATTTTATTTTGAGACATCATCTTGCTTTGTTGCCTAGATTGCCCTCTAACTTGGATCCACCTGCCTCAACCGCCGGAGTAGCTGGCCGTGCTAAATTACAATAATAATTTTTCTGTGTTAGGAATTTCATACTCTTCTAGTCAGTTTGAAATACAGATTGTTTTGACTTGTTAGTTACCCAGATGTGCTAAAGAAGAACCAGAAATTATTCCTTTACTCTGTGTTTTGGTTCTTCTTAATGAACTTCTAATTATTTCTTGCAATTCATTCTTAGAATATTTGTTCTCTCTTCAATGATTTTGTTGCTACAGTTTAGCTTACCTTAGTAGGTGCTTGAATTTCAACTTTCTCTGGTCTAATGAAATTATATTTGATATTTGTAGGCCAGATCTAATACAAGGATTTATCTTTAGGCCATGGATGGAGGAGGATAGTGATAAGTTCTGTGAAGACAGGTACACACCCAGGCACAAATTTTTTGTCGGAATGATGTTTAAATGAATGCTGCTGCTCGCAAATTATCATCTTGCTGCTTAACACACTTCTTTCTAAAGCACAAATCTGAGCTCCATGTACAGGATCTTTGTCTTTTTCACTCTCCAGGCCTTCCTAATTAATGTCTTCTCAGGACATCTTTCTCTATTAATCATTAGTTAAAAAGGTGGCTGCTGTAGCCTCTGGGGATAAATTGCCACATCCCATTTCCTTCTCTGTGAGCAGGATTTCCAATTTCCAAGCCTGATGGGATCTCCCAGCTGGAACAAGATCTACAGGTCTTTGATCTGGAAACTAAGAATAGAGAAGTCTTAAGAGGTGACTGCTCAGGTGAGTAAGGCAGAATAAATCACATGGAATTAGTAGGGAAGTAAAGTGGAACTTTGTGACTGCTTTGGCATCAAAAAGATGAGCTCTGTCTGTCATGGAATAAAGAGCTCCTCCTGCCTTTGCCTGTGGTTTAGGTTGACCCTTTGTATTTATTTAGCTCCTATGCACAAGTTGTACTAGGCCCCTATTCAAGTTGCTTACCTACAATTCTTTTGAGTTAGTTCCCTTTTAGCTCTTTTGAAGTCCCTTAACTGGTTATTCTCTTACTCTGCTGAACACACCTCTAGTTTCGACCACATCATGATCCATTTGGATCCTACCTGGCTGCTGCTGTTCATGCCCTTAACATCTGCTTTTGAGATTTTGTGTCTCAAAATTTTTTTTTGAGAGTAAATAAACTTTTTTATTTTTTCAGAGTAAATAAACTTCTCTTATGCTGGTAGCTACTACCTTATTTAGTTTTCTTCTGAGTTTTCTTTTTAAGTACAGGGTACAGATTACATGTGTATTTTCTATTTATATATTGTATCAGATGGAGAAACCAGAGAAGAGAACAAGCTGTTGATTCCTAAGCAGAAAATTTCGGAAGAAGTACATTCATACAGAGTGAGAGTAGGAAGACTGAAACAGGATATGGCCCAAGGTCCTGAGACTAGAGAAGTATATAAGTCTGAGGACAGATTAGAAAGGCTTCAGGAAATCCTAAGGAAATTTCTCTTCCTGGAAAGAGAGTTTAGACAAATAACAATCAGCAAGAAAACCTTCACCAGTGAGAACAGTGAATGTAATGAACCCGAAAAAGGCTTCAGTCTGGATTCTGCCCTTGACACAGATCACAGAGTTCTTAAAATACAGAATATTGATGACAATAAATATGATACGAACTTCCAGAACTCAGCTGCTGATAAACATGAACACATAAATCTACAACAGAATTTTCAAAATAGCGAATACAAAGAAAGCCTAATGGATCTCTCCCACCTTAATAAATGGGAGAACATTTCTACCACTGAGAAATCCTATAAATGTGATACTTGTGGAAAAATCTTTCATCAGAGCTCAGCCCTTACTAGACATCAGAGAATCCATACCAGAGAAAAACCCTACAAATGTAAAGAATGTGAAAAATCTTTCAGTCAGAGCTCAAGTCTTAGTCGACATAAAAGAATACACACTAGAGAAAAACCTTATAAATGTGAAGCATCTGATAAATCCTGTGAAAAGTCGGATAAATCATGTAGTCAGAGTTCAGATGTAATTCAGCATAAGAAGACTCACACCAAAGCCAAATCTTACAAGTGTAACAGTTGTGAAAGGGTCTTCAGTCGTAGTGTACACCTTACTCAACACCAGAGAATTCACAGAGAGATGCCGTGTAAGTGTACTATATGTGGCAGTGACTTCTGTCATACTTCGTATCTAGTTGAACACCAGAGGGTCCACCATCAAGAGAAATCCTATGAATATGATGAATGTGGTTTGGCCTATGCTAAACATCAAGGAATTTGTTTCAGAGAAAAACCCTATACATGTAATGAATGTGGAAAAGACTTCAGATTGAATTCGCATCTCATTCAGCATCAACGAATTCACACAGAAGAGAAACCACATGAATGTAATGAGTGTGGAAAAGCTTTCAGTCAGACCTCATGCCTTATTCAGCATCACAAAATGCCTAGGAAAGAGAAATCGTATGAATGTAATGACTACGAGGAAAGTTTCAGTCATAGCTCAGATCTTATCCTGCAACAAGAAGTTCTCACCAGAGAAAAAGTCTTTGACTGTGATGCATGGGAAAAGAACTTCAGTCAGAGAGCACATCTTGTTCAGCATCAAACAATTCATACCAAAGAGAAACCTTATGAATGCAGTGAACATGAGAAGGCATTTAGTCAAGTGCAGTCCTCATTCAACATCTGAGGGTCACACCAGGGTGAAGTCATGTACGTACTGAAAGTGGTAAAGTTTCAGTCAGCTCAGACTATATAAAAAGTCAGAATTCATGAGACAGATCCTCTGAATGTGGTAAATGTTGGAAAGCTTTTAGTGTTAAACTCTTAATTGGCTCCTGCAATCCATGCTGGTAAGAAAAGCTTTGAATATATTGAATGTGGTAAATTCACACTGTGTTCATTCCTTACTTATAATTGGGGAATTTGTACTGGAATAAAATTCCAATATGTAAAAAAGCAATCAGTCAAAGGAACTACCTTGCTTCAGTACCAGATTCATGTCATGCAGAAAGCCTATGAGTTTAATAAATGCATGTGGGAGAGGAAATTCAGTTATAACTCAGTGCTCATTCAATATCAAAGAATTACCCAAAGGAAATCATTTGAGTCTAGTAAACGTGGCAGATCTTTTCAGTAAGAATTCATCAAGTTCTTCATTGTAATCAACATATACCAGATGAGAATGCAGATGAAGAAATTTGACTCTATTTAAGGCTTTACCCAACATTAAAGTAGTGGAGAGAAACTTGTTATTACTTACGTATGAAATTGTTAATATTTAGTCCCAGTCATTTTCATTGCAGAAGAATCTAGTCTCAAAAATAACTTGGAATGCAGTCCTGTGTCCTCATCTCATTATTTAGTATGTGTCCTAAGTATGTGCATTTTATTTGTGGAACTCATTTAAGCTATTTTCATTTTAATATGGCCTATACACATTTGTATTCATCCTGGAATTGGTTCTTATTCACAGCTTCCCAAGATATTCTTAATGCACCTTAAAGCATATACCAACTTCTAGAAAGTAGCTTATTTAGCTTTTTCTGCTATTCTTGACCCAGATTGTCTCCAAAACACATCCTTAGGCCAGCTTTTTTCTGATATTTTTTTATAGCCCCACCCACTAGATTCCTGCATTCCTTTATGAACCTTAAGATGGTGGTTTCTTAGTTTTAGGCTTGTTGCTAGCAGGTATGCCATTCCTACTTGATACTGCTGGTCTGGTATCTTCTTCCTACCAAGGATTTTCATCTCCAGCCCATCCGTAAGTATGGAAGATTCGGTCTTCCTGAGTTTGTGGCACACAGTTAAATATTTTCAAGTGATGTCCAAGTTTTTAGCTGCTTTGTCTGCATCAATAAGACTCCTGGTGGCCTAATTACATTCATTCTGTGCCTGTTCTGCATGGCTAAATTTAGAGTCCTCATATGCCTCTGTTGGAGGCCAGAAAAATGCTCAGGTCTGCTTTTGATAGGACAAACATTTAAGAACACACACAAAAAGCTTCGTATACATACAAAGAAACCCTCCATACCAAAAACAAAAACACTACAACACAAAAACCAGAAAATTTCCAAAGTGAATATAAAATGTGCTATTTTTATATATCTAGAGACAATATTTTAAGAGCATGTCGGTTTCTGCTCAAATGTAACCATTTGGACTGCTTCCTTATTTGTTCGGACCCCTCCCCAACTTCTCTCATCAATTCAGGACAGTATATAAAGTGTGGGGCCTTTGTGTGTAATTATTTGTGCATCATGTTTTTGTTTGCTTTTGAGATAGGTCTCACTTTGTTGTCCACGCTGGCCTTGAACTTCTGGGCTCAAGTGATCCTGCTTCAGCCTCGAGTAGCTTGGATTACATGTGTGCATCGTCTGTATTTTTGTATTTTAATGGGACTTACAGGTCATATGAAAGAACGTGGCTTTTTTGATTAATGAAAGTGATCACAGATGCTGGCTCGAGTTCAGGATCATTGTCATATACCTAGAAGACAGTTTATGATTATTCAGATGTCAAAGCATTTTAATAGTTTTTCCATATTAAGCTTCAAAACATTTTGTGAATAAGCCAAGTATTACTTAAAATTCTAGTTGTCAGTCCAGCAATTGAGGCTTTTATGGTCCAGATGTTATAATATTCATTAGGGATCTGCAAAAAATATGTAAAAATACATTACTCTATAAACCTCTTGTAGCTAACCTCTAGGATAGTTCTGCCACTATATTTTATATCTTTCCATCAGCAAGCATAGGCTCTCATCAGGGCAAGGTAGGGACCTAAGTGAAATCGATATATAATTAAATGATCTAAATGTAAAAAGCAAATGAAAAATGCATGGTTTTTTTCCTATCAAACATGTATACCTTTACAGAGATCAGTAATTACTTATGGTGACCATGAAACAGAGGACTAAGTAATCCCTAAATAACAAAATATGTACAGATCACATGTATGCGTTTGATTTAGGAATGTGCTTTTGTACCTCTACTTGAATAAAGATGTGCTTGATATTCTGAGAATCTGTTTCAAACAAAATCTGAAGTCTCAGAAGCATTCGAGAATCTTGGAATCACCTTCCTGGCTACAACTCTTCCTCCCTGAAACTTGCTTCACAACAAGAATGGACCTCTATTTTGTATTGATACAAAGCTTGCTTTCCCATAGACCTGTAGAGGCCAGCTGAATGTTTAGCATTTAATTATTCAGTTGGAATGTTGTACGTGCAATAAGAGTGAACAGTTTTGAGGTTGCAGTTGAACGCGGGAAAATGGTTTGGAAAGTAAAACACATTTTTTCTTTTTTGTACCGGCAAGTGAACTCAGGACCTTGTGCTTGCCAGGCAGGTGCTGTGCCGCTGAGCTAAATGCCTGGCCCAGAACACTTTTTTTTTTTTTTTTTTTTTTTAAAGATAAGCCAAAGTAATCCTTGAGGCAAGTAATTTACATTTTAAGCAGATAGTCCAATTAATGAGTTTGCATTAGGTTTTTTTTTTAAAACTTTTTTTGTTTCTTTGAGACAGTCTCGCTATATAGTTCAGATTAGCCCTCAACTGTAACCCAGGCTAGTCTCAAACTCACGCTGATCCTCATGATTCAGCCTCCCAAGTGCTGGGATTACAGGCATGTGCCACCACACTTGGCAATCTTTCTGGTTTTTAGGAGGGAAAGAAGAAAACTGTAGAGAGACACATAATTTTACTTCTGTTTTAACCATTACATGCACATACATGTATATACATAAACTTAATTCTCATCAAAATGGTGCAGGCAAGTTGGGTTTGTATTATGGAGGAACTGAGACACAGAGAAGTCAACTTGTTAGGATCTCATAGCAAGTTAATGGCTCAAAATCAGATGTCGGACCCCCACAACTCTTCATCATCACGGTGTTAGTATTAGACACTTTTTTTTTGGGAGGGGTCTTTTTTGAGACGGTCTCACTATGCAGTTCAAGCTGGCCTTGAGCTTACTTTGTATCCCACGTTGGTCTCGAACTCGTAACGATCCTCCTGCCTCAGCCTCCCAAATGCTAGGATTACAGGCGTCTGCCACCACTCCCAGTTAGACACATTTAAGAATCCAGGGAAGTTTTCTTTGATAACTGTTTATTACATCCTCAGTGATTCAGTATCAATTTGTGACCGATCCCAAAGGCTTCCTCCCAGAGCTGTCTGGGATACACGGAGAGGATAGCTTTTTCTTTTCTTTTTTTTTTTTTTGAGGAGCTAGTCCAACCTTACAGTAACAGCACCCAATGGCTAGCGTTGGTGTCCTAGTGTCCAGCAGTTGTATTAGTCAATGCAGTGAGTAAATGGATGAGGTTATGTTTTCAGAGGTGGGAATCCCACTTTGCTATGATGACTCCCTATAGTCTTCCTCTGAACATTGCTTAGATAATTTTGACAGTTATAAGTTAACAGATCAAAACTCCCAAATTTATATCTTCTATGGAGTTATCCTTGCTGTCACTAGTTTCTCATTTCCATTTCTCAGTGCCCTAAATTTGTTATTTATTTATTTAGCCAGAACTTGCTGATGGGCATGCATTCTACTTTTACAGCAGTGGAGCAAAGTGAGTAACTGAAAGAATCAGTTTTGATTCCTGGGCATGCAAAAGCGTGGGAGAGGTAGACTGGAAAGGCAGGGAGCATTGAAGAGGAACAGTGAGAGTAAAAATGGAGAGAAAGTCAGATCTATAGATAAGAGCACGATGTTTTCAAGGTAAGGAAGAAGTGCTGTGTTCACAAAAGGCTTAGCCTAGGAAATAGGTGGGCAAATGAACAGTTGTACTCTCATTGCCCTGGCTTCATACTGAGAGTGGAACTAAGGGCCTTGTGTATACTAGGCAAGTGTGCTACAGCTGAAATAAATCCCTATCCCAACTGAGCAGGGTGGATACATTCCTCCTAACTTGAACCACCAGTGGTGCATGCATGACTGCCATCAGGTAGCTTGTACTGCTGGTGGTACAAATGGATCTAATTGCTTTTATTGGTCTTACTAATAAAAAGCTGCCCCCTGGGACAGTCATGCATGCACCACCGGTATTTCAAGCCACCTGGCAGCAAGACAAGTTATGGCCCTGTTAAGAGTGTGTTAAGGATAGAGTTCAAAGGAGGGCCCCTGGGAGTTGTCTCAGCAAAGTGGGATTCCTACCTCTGAAAATGTAACATCCATTTGTTTACTCATTGAGCAAAGTAATTGCTAGACACTAAGGTACCAATGCTAGCCAATAGTTGCTGTTACTATAATCAAATGAATAGGAGTACAGGTTAATTTAGTCAAGTTGATGACTTTGGAATTAGATACACCTTACTTAAGCTTTTCTTTACTACTAATTAGTGTGTAACTTTGGAAATTTTATTTAGTATCTATTTTTTTTTGAGACTGGGTCTCACTATGCAGTTCAGGTTGGCCTTAAACTCACTATGTAGCTGAGGCTGGCCTTGAACTTTTGATCCTCCTGGCTCAGCCTCCCAAGTGTTGGGATTACAGGCATGTGCTACCATGCCTGGTGGTCTGATTTTCTTATCTACATGATAATAATGTTATGAAAGTTAAATTAGATGATTAATGTAAAGAATACTGGTCACATAGTTTAGTAAAAAGTTCACATAAAAACCAATAAATCAGAGTGACAATATGAAATCTTACAAAGGGAATTAATGAATGACCAGAATAAGACTGGCGTTGTCTAAGGAGGATACTCAGGATTTGGAGAATTCATACATAAATGGTAGGAACTGCCTCTTGACAGTCCCTGTCCGCAAACTGACATCTTGTCTCTTCTTGCATTTTTATCATATGATGTCTTTCTTTTGTTGCTTATACAAAATACCTAACACCCAAAGTTGAAGGAAGAAAGGTTTCTTGTTGCTCAGTTTGTAAAGGTTTCAGTTCATGTTGGCTGGCTCCAATGTAGGATGGCAGGCAGAGGGCATCACAGAGGAGAAATGGTTCATGGCAGGCAGAAGGCACCAAAAGGAGCAAGCAGCAAGTGGCAGCAGTGGCCCTCTTTCCCTTATACTCCATCCATGCTACCCACCCTTTGAGAAGATAGCACTCATACCTAGCATCAATCCTTGATCCCAGCATCACAGACCCTAGACCCAGCCACCTCAGGAAAGCTCTACTGATGACTATGAGGCTTTGGCGGGGTTGGGGGTGGGGCACCTAGATATAAACCATAACATATGGCATCGTATCTTGTACTCCCTTCACACTAACCCAGGAGTAAGAATGATTTCAACCTGTGCCATGTTCAAATCAGCAACAAAACAAGTACTAGAATTCTTATTTTGCTAACACTTCCTACTTCTTCACTTTTAGACAATAGCTTTATATTTATTTCATTTATTTTTAGAAATTTACAATTTAGGGTACAATTACAAGCTTGTGTCTTGTCTTTTTCCCTATTTGCTCATGTTACAAGTTCCACATGGTCTTCCTCAGCTGACCTTCATGGATGTAGTTAAGACTGGTCTGAGCAGGCCAGGGTTCAAATGCTGCCTTTGGTACTTTGTGCTCCTGGCAAGTAAGATAGTAAAAAAATACCAGCTTCTAGGCTCATGAGCATAATGACATAATGTCAGTTTAACTGCACCTTAACTGGTGACTGCTTTACTGAACTTGACAGGAAATCTCTTATGAACAATTCCTCTACTTAATCTCCCTCTCCTTCCCACACTTTTTCAACATATCCTCTTCCCTTCCCTTCCTTCCGCTGCTTCAATATATGACATAGCCCTGGTGGTGCACACCTGAAATCCCAGCACTTGGAAGGCTAAGGCAGGAATATCACCATGCATTTAAGGCAAGCCTGAACTACTATCAAGCTCCTATCACAAACACACACACACAAATAGGCCTTGGCAAGCCCCTACAGCTGGCTTTGTAGGGTAGTTGAATCTTGGCTCCATCTGTAAGGCTTTTTCTTCCTTTATCAGTGAAGTGGTAGAGGCCAGTCCTTACTTATCTACCCCAAGCAAATCAGGGAGGGGCTGGACAGAGGTATAGAGTCCTGGCCTCTGGGAAGGGAGGTGAGGAGGACCCCAGGAAGGAGAGACAGGCCAAACACTTGGTAGTGTTGGTGAGAAAGGCAAAGGCAGGTGAATTAGACTCAGTCCACTTACGCAGTGAAGGGCAAGAACAGAAATTCTTCCCTGAATCGCCCCTTTGGGAACAACTGAAGGGCCTGAAGGAGGCCCCACTCCACTTAGCTTTGAACCGGATTGCATGCTGGCTATTTGAGAACCTGTAACCGAGTTAGGTCTCTGAGCTGCCTAGATGGGACAGCAAAGTGTGTGAGAAGGACCCATGGTCTCCCGGAGGCCCAAATGCCCACGCCTGGGAGTGCATGTGGGTAAGCAAGTGAGTGGTGGGGTTTGGCGGGTCCCTGATGGGAGGTTGCCTGAGAGGTCTGCACGGTTGTGGGCAAACACTAGCAGAGGGGTTCCAGTGGGCCAGAGTGGGCTTCGGAAATTGATCTGGGTCTGGTTCGGATCCTGGTGGTACCACAGCCAGGTCATACACAGGATGGGGGCACCTCCGGTGTCTGCAGCCCTGGTTGCCCATCCTGCCTAAAAAAGGAATGGAGCTTTTAACACCTCCGTAGTTGGGAATTTGTCCTGGGAAAGTGTATCTGTCACAATCTGGTCTCTCCCTCTTCCCCGAAGTGGCATGTATGCTGTTGTGAATTTTTTTTAAAGAGGTCTTGGCTTTAGAGCTGCACGAGGGATTGGACCCAGTCCTTGGAGAAGCCACCCAAGCAGATGTCCCCAGAGTCCGTGTGTCCAACCGAGAGCAGGAGCATTGGAAGAGCAAGGCAAAGGAGCCGACTTAACCTGACTTACATTTGTTTTTAGCTTTATCTTGCCCTTTTATTTTTTATTTTAAAGAGAAAAAACACTAAAAGCAATGATACAAAATTTCAAGGCAAGATGGTAGAAAGGTAACAATGTTAGTACATTGTTTATTATTATCATAAAGTAGTTGCTCAGATTACAAGATACAGGCATGAA